GACATCCTCACCGTTCAACGGACACGACTTCTTTACCTGGAGCTTCGAGTTTGAGCTGCTGATGGAGGCCGCGCATCTTCTGGGATACTTCAACGGGTCCCTGCCATTCCCAAGCAACGGCACTGGGAAGGAACAAGAGATCTTCACGTATCAGTCGCTGCTGGCGTACACGGTACTCCTGAGAAACCTGTCACCACAAGAGCAGCAGAGCATCAGAACGTATCGGAGTTATGGAAACTCCGCGGAGCTCGCATGGCACCACCTCAAATGCCTTTACCAAGCAAACGACAGCGTGACACAAAGCAGACTCATGCAACAGCTGACAACAATACAGATGAAGACCGGGGAAAAGGCGATGCAGTATATGAGTCGCTGCCAGACCCTCCGCGACCGCCTGCTTCGGTGCGGAGGAACGATTACTGAAGAAAGCTTCGTGACACTTGTCCTCGCCGGGCTCGGGCCAGAATGGAGAACCACACGATCACTTCTTCGAGCCCACGGAAGAATTTCGGAGATGCACCTCTGCGCCGAGCTTCACGCTGAACAACAGGAGATGGATCTGTTCGAGGAAAGACAACCAAGGAAGCAACAGCAGTTAGTCTTCTACACTCAAAGAAGAAATGACAACAACTACAACCGACGCAGCAAGCAAGATCAACGCGACAACCGAGGACTCACCATCGTGCCACCGTTCTGCCACAACTGTCAGACTTCCGGGCACTCCAAGGTCAACTGCAACCGCCCTCGCGTTTACCGTGCAGCAGACCCACAAGTCGCTTCCACTCAAGCAAGTCCTCCAAGGCGCTCTTCAACATCTGCACAACAAACACCCAACATCATCAACTGCATGGTACACATCGACAACTGCGCACCCGCTTCACCACCCACTTACGCACCAGACGAAGAGGAATTCCCGCCGCCGCGCTCGCAAGGACTTCAGGTCAACCCGACATACGCTGCAGTCGCTAACGCCGAACCCACCGGGCGGAACACCTGGTTCTTGGACAGTTGCTGCGGTCAGCACATGTGCTCCTCCGGACGCTTCGTACAACACGAGCGACGCCTCAACCGCGACGTCGTCATCACCGTCGCCAACAACGAAAACCTGAAAACAAACAGGCAAGGCGTGGTTCAGTTACAATCAATGGAGACAAACGTTATTCTTCAGCTCAACAAAGTCCTCATCGTCGACAATCTGGGATACAACCTACTAAGCGTAAGCCAACTAATGGCTAAGGGGATTCACCTGGAGTGCGACTCCTTCTCCAACGAGTTCCGACTTTACCACGGGAAGGGCGGTCTCTTCATCGGTCGTGCCCTCCTGAAGTCCGGTGTCTTCGTGTTGGACTTCGTCCCCGACCGCGGAACTGCCGACAGCGATGGCATCGTATCGTTCGCCGCCTGGACTCACCCACCAGATCTTGATCCCGACTTCGACAGTGACGGCTTCTGGCACTCCAACACCATACCTGCAGCAGAGAGAACACGGGCATTAGCAGTTATCAGACAAGAAAGACAAGTACCAGCAAGCGTCCCAACAAAACCATCACCTGCAGTATCGGCAGCAGGACCCAGCCGAGTACCACCACCATCAACACGAGGACCGCCAACGGAAGCAGACCAACCTATGCCCGCCACACGAGAAGCTTGTCGAAGTCCCGCCTCGGTCGTCGCGTTCTTCTCCAACGCCGACATCTACCACCGCTCGCCCGGTCACCGCGCTCCCGACGACATCTGGCACCAACGTCTCGGACATCCTGCAAACAGCACGATACTACAAACAATACAAGCAGAGGTGTTAGAACGTAACGCCCTTCTAACGACGAGCGGCCAAGAACTTCGCCGACCAAGAGCACGATGCTTCACGTGCCCCGAAGCAGATCTTCCTCATCAACCTTTCCCAGCCCATCACAATCCAAGCGCACCCACTTACGCTCCGATGGAAAAGGTCTACAGCGATATTCTAAACATGCCTCGAGACGACACCGAAGCCGACTTCAACTACGTCATCACGTTCATCGACGCCGCAACCAGATACGTCTGGCACTTCAATCTCAAAACGCGCGATCAAGCCTTCGAGGCCTTCACCACATGGCTTCCAATCGCCGAACGAGAGTCAGGAACCAAACTCAAGAGTTTCCAGTCAGACGGTGCACTGGAATACCAGTCACAACGCTTCAGGACCTATCTCGCGGAAAGGGGAATCCGACGCCTGGTGTCTCTGCCCTATGCTCACCAGCAGCAGGGGGTAGCAGAACGCATGAACCGGACCTTGCAGACGACGATGCGAAAACTGCTTCTGGGGATGAGGCTGCCCAATACACTGTGGCCAGACGCGATGACACATGCAGTCCACCTGCACAACCTGTTGTCCTCGTCATCGCTCCCCAACAACGCATCACCGCACCTGCTGTGGACGGGAAAAAGGGGCAGCACAAAATTACTTCGAGTTTTCGGCTGCATGGTACAATACAGACCCCACACAGCTCGAGCAGGACGCTTCACTCAACGAGCTCGGTGGGGACTACACCTCGGCATCGCCAAACATTTTCACGCGTGGAAGATTCTCGACATACACGACAAAAATACGGTGGCATCACGTGATGTTATCTTCTACGAGCGACTGACGCTGCAGCATTACCTGGACAACATTGCCAACTCAGACGACCCCACCGACGGCTTCGCGGGCCTTCGCTCCTTCGCTGACCATGCTGCCGAGGCTGACGCAGCAGAAGAAGACGTCCCTGGAGCCTCGGAGGCTGCCGGACCACTCCCCTACTGCTCCGTACCTGTTCCACTCGATGAAGATAATCCTCTCGATAGCAACAACCTCGACACCTTTTACCACTTCGCTGACCAAGGCTACGCTACACCACACCCCGTCGACTCGAATATTTCCGAACGCATCGGGCCAAACTTCTTACCCGATCCTGAAGACGGTGATGAAGCAGCTTATCCCGAGAATGAAAACTCCCCTCGACACACAGCCACGGGACTGCAGATCCTAGGACTATGGGTCTCCGTCCAGCACCCGCCGCCGCCTTCTCCGCGCGAGCCGTCGACCCTGTCGCAGGCTCTGGGGGGGGAACATAAGGCACAATGGAAGGAAGCGATGGAAAAAGAGTTAAAAGCTCTGCAAGACCGAGAAACATGGAAACTGGTACCTGCAACGAGCATCAACGGGAAGAACATTCTCTAGGGGAAATGGGTGTACCGCATCAAGACCAACTCAGACGGCTCCATCGAACGATTCAAAGCTCGATGGGTCGTACGAGGCTTCGATCAACGATACGGAACCGACTACACAGAAACCTTCGCTCCAGTCTCCCGTCACACCTCTCTGCGCATCCTACTCGCCATCGCGGCCACGAAGAAACTACCACTACGGCAAATCGACGTTGCAAACGCCTTCTTGTACGCACCTGTGGACGCCGAAATCTTCGTCGAACAACCCCACGGATTCATCGACGACCCTTCAAAAGTATGCCAGCTGGAAAAATCCCTTTACGGGATCAAGCAAGCCCCACGGCTCTGGCAGCAGCACCTTCACGGCCGGCTCGTAAAAATCGGATTCCTACAGCTACCACATGACCAAGGCATGTACCGACTACAGAAGGGAAGAGATTACATTCTGCTCATCGTCTACGTCGACGACCTGCTCTACATCGGTTCTACCACCGACATCGTCACCTGGTTCGAAGGGGAGCTGAAAAGGGACCTGACGCTCACGGTGTCCGACGAGGTGACGCAGTACCTAGGACTGAACGTCGTCGAAGACGACACGGCGTTCTACCTACACGCTGGAAAGTACTCAAGCACCGTCGCGAAGAAATTCGGTCTAACACCGACTGCGGTCCCAACTCCCTACCGCTACGGGAACAACAGTAGCGCCTCCACAAAACTCCCCGCGAAACAAATCCAGGAGTATCAACAGAAGCTCGGCTGTCTACTATTCGCAACAGTAACCTGCCGACCCGACCTATCCTATAGTGCGAGCCAGCTGGCGACACATCTGAGGCAGCCGCAACAGGAAGATCTCGAAGAACTCAATCGAGCGCTACTCTACTTCGTCTCCACGCCGACGATCGGGCTCACCTACAGCAAGGCAACAACACCGTCCGTACGACTACTCGGATACGTCGACGCCGACCACGCGGGAGACAGCGAAAATCGACGGTCTAGGACGGGCTACATCTACCGACTAGAACCTATCGGAACTATCTCCTGGCAGTCGAGCAAGCAGGAGTTAATCGCACTATCCTCGGCTGAAGCAGAGTATATCGCCCTTTGTACTGCGACCAAGGAAGGACTCTACCTACGAGAGTTACTCGAAGAAGCGAAGATCGCGACCCTGCCCACCTTCTCACTCCTCTGCGACAACCAATCTGCGATAAAAATCGCGAACAAGGACGGCTTCGCCAACCGAACCAAGCACATCGCCCTGCGGTACTTCTTCGTCAAGGATGAAATCGCGAAGGGGAGACTTCAACTCAGTTACTGCCCGACGACAGAAATGGCCGCAGATTATCTGACGAAGAAATTGGCGAAAGCAAAATTCGACTACTGCATGCTCCTAACCGGGCAAACAAACGTCACCGGATCTGAACACTCCAGCACTCCAGAAACGAAGGGGAGTGTTGGAAATATCTCAAGGACTAGCGTTTCTGAAGTGTAACACTGTACTCGAGGAAGATTACAGGGGAGCACGCGAGTCAACGGAGGTTACACGAGGGGGCGGACAAAGAATGCGAAAGGACTCGAAAGGTCGCAACTGGAGGTTGCGACTGACCGTTACAACATCACGGATGGTAACCGAAGCGGCAATCGAGTCGCTGTGCGACTCGATAAACCGTTCCTGTAACTGTATTCTACAACTGCTTCCTTATCTTCTATATATTGCTGTATGCTTGTTTCTTTAATCAATCACTTGTTCTCACATACTAGTACAAGGGTTCAACTGCCTCAACTTCCGCTGCACTACTCCAAGTCTCAAGTCTTTACAGCTGGGACTTAATCTCTGCAAAAGATCCTAAAGGGTTTTTCTCAGCCCAACAATATGCAGGCCTGTGAAACATGGGTACCCCTTTCAGCACATTTCGCTCCTACACTCCAGTGCTCACCTCACCTCCCTCCTGCCCTCCTCTCCCCAGCCCACTCATCTTCAAACTAGTAACAATTCTTTCAGTGTTAATATTCTAGGGTACAATGCAGACATGACGCCACACCGAGAGAATGCAGATGCAACACCAACCAGAAGGGAAGAAAAATATGTTAGCAAGCCAGCACACCCAGATAAATAATGAACGGAATCTCCTGCGAGAAAGAGCAGAAGGAGCTCTATAAGGAAAAGTTGCAGACATTGCACTTGATGGCACCATTCGATGGCTCTCCACAGGTCCCTGAAAGAGGAGCAATGCGGCAGTTGAATTTCTCACTCTGCCTCCCCAGCACAGCAATCTCCAGGCAAGAGGACGTCTAAGAGGAGAAGTTGCAGACATTGCAGTTGATGGTTTCGTTTGCGGGCTCCCCGCAGGTGCCGGAGAGAGGAGCGATGCGGTAGTTGCACTTCTCGCTCAGCCGCCCGAGGCACGTGACCTGCTTCAACGTGGCGGGGCGGGGGTTGAGGTAGCAGCAGCCGTCGCACTCCAGATCTGCACACGCGGAGACATGGAGAGGGGGGCGCTTGAGTGCGCTGAAAAGAAAACGACCTTCCGAGGCACATGGCATGGGTCCGTTTCCATGTGGCGGGGCGGGGGTTCAGGTAGCAGCAGCCGTCGCACTCCAGACCTGCAGGTAGAAACGGGAGCGGGGTTGTGGGGAGCGGGGTCGTGGGGAGCGGGGTCGTGGGGAGCGGGGTCGTGGGGAGCGGGGTCGAGGGGAGCGGGGTCGTGGGGAGCGGGAGATGAGGCGGAACATTGGCCGGGAAGGAGAGATAGCAGGGAGAGAGAAATGGGTCAGGTATGGGCCAGAAGGCTGAACGAGACAGTCGGTGGAAAGAGCGGACGGAGGTGGATAAGAGAATGGAGGGTTGAGCAGACGAGCTGCTGATGGCCATGCATGAATGAACAGAGAGGCAAGGGAGATAGCAGCCAGGAGGGATCCAACACAGAGAGGCAGGGGATGTATGGAAGAGAAAGCCGGAAGGGGGAGGAGGGGGGAGGGGGGGAGGAGAGAGGGGGAGGAGGGGGGGGGGGGGGGGTTGTGGGCACATCGTTGCACGATGCTACAGGATGAATCGACCATGTACTCGCAGTTTCGCAGCAAAATCAAAAGGCGGCAGCGAAGCATCGAGAGTAACACACACCCGCCACGGGGTAACCAACAAGGCAGTAACAGTTGCCGTGTTGCACGATGCTACTGGAGGAGACTTTTGAGTCGACTCAAAAGTGTTGCACGATGCTACTGGAGGAAACGAGGAATCAACCAAGTAGTTCCTAGTATTCGTAGAAGCCGCCCAGAGGCGGCAGAGGCGCATCCATGGAACTCACCACGCACCAAACATAAGGTAACAAAGTAACGTAACACTTACCTCGTTGGACGATGTTACAGGACGAGTCGACCATGTACTCGCAGTTTCCGTTCACGGCGTAGAAGCCCAGGGGCGGCAGCGCCGCATCCATGGGACTCGGAAAGTTCTCTTGAAAGCCGTTGAACCAGAACGGGGTGAAGGACACCTCGCCCGTGTCCGCATCCTCGTTATAAGTGCACAGCCAGAAGACGAACCAGCCGTTGTGCAGCGAGTACGGGGATTCGAGCAAACTGACAGAGGGTGTCACGCCGCCGTAAGCGGTGCCGGAGGAGACGAGCGGCGAGTGGTGGAGCAGGAGGAGGAGCGATAGGAGGAGAGGGGTGGTGAGTTTACTCAGGGAGAGTGACGGTAAACGGGAGCACCGCTGCGAGCGCGCTAGGCGCTGTTCTGGAGAGGCCATAATGCTGACGAGAAAATGATACAGAGTTTATGTCAACGTACGAGAATTTCTGGAAGGGACGGCGACGGTGCGGGCTGAGCTTGATGAAAGGATTGGGAACAACCGGAGGAAAGTAAGGAACTTATCGACAAAAATAAGATTTCGGACAACGCTTAGCGCAAGGAGCACTAGTGCCGAAAGAATCACCGCTCAGAATGATCAGTCTTATAACATGACTACAGTATGTAGACAACTGCGGCTCGGAGGACTAGCAGGCTATGGACATAAGACAGGACCCCAGGGCAAGTACTCAGGAAGAGGAGGCGGTTTGCTGGAAGTAGGGCCGTTCCACAGCGAATGCAGCTGATAATGCAAGGTTTAGAAATTTTCAGCACGATTTCCCGCGTTACAGTACGGTGAAAGCTTGGTATTGTATGGAACACAACACACTGGTTCGTCGCGCCCGTGCGGAGTTTTGCCCTTGGTCTGCGCGCACACAATCTTGGACCTCGGTTAGTATTGCCTTGCCAGGCAGGGCGGGCTGCGCAGCATTTTGCATCGCGCTTGTTCGCGCGGGTTCGGGCTCGGGGGGGATGCGGCGCAGAGGGGCACAGCGCAGGTGGTGGCGGATTCGGGGGAGGCGGTCATTCCACCACACTATGAGTTTGTCGTTTTGGGCTCGATGGTCTCGAAGCAAGGACAGCTGGACTGTAGCTACACCACATCAAACCTGACTGCACCGTTTTCAGATGTGCAGTCTATAATTCATGAACCCACTATAAGGTGCAAATGCGAATGTAGGATTCTGAGGTGAAATACATCTCGATTTCTCCAACATTCAACTAAACAAATTGCATTATGACACCACTCGTTGCCATGCCTAGACACTCCTGCAGCTTCATTATAATCTGACTTATGCAAGAGCCGGAACAACCAGGGCTTCGGCCTCCTTGCCAATAACGGGCTTGAACAGAGCATCGTCCTCGTCCTTGGGCGTGTGGATGGTAACCTGCCGTGTAACAAGCACATGGTAGAGGGCAAATTTTGTAGGGCAGGCAGGAGCTACACGCACCAATGCACCTATTGCACTACCTACCTACCGAGACATGGGACCAAAGGATAAGGAACAGGGGCAAATGGACATGAAGATGCTAACGGGGGCCACAACAGCAACGGGAGTCATAGCGACGAGTACACGGGATATGAGAGAATGCGGATCGCTCACCTGGTCGGGAAGAGGGCGGACCACACCGGCCTTGCCACTGGCATCGTGGGGCAGCATGATCTTCACCTTGATGCCCAGCACGCCCTGGGAGAGAGCAGAAGACGGGGGGGGGAGCAGGGTGTGTTGGGGGGAGGTGGAAGGGGCGGGCAGCATGCAGGCAGCATGCTCTTCACATTGATGCGCCCCCCTGGGAAAGAGGGGAAAGAGGAACAAAAGGAGAATGGAGAGGAGCATAGGGACGTGTGGCCATCATGCACACCTTGATGCTCAGCATTCGCTGACAGAGGGGGTGGGTGGGGGGGAAAGGAGGGGGACGATGGGGACGAAGGTTGGGGGAGAGGGGGGGAGGAGAAGGGGGGATGGGGGGGAGGGTGGGAGGATGGGGGGAGAAGGAGATGGGTCTGCACCAGCCTTTGAAGGCGGCGTCTGGGGCAACCCACACACACCTGACGCGGCACCCCGCAGGCTCACCTGGCGCAGCATGACGTGGCGCACGGCGGAGTCGATGTAGTCGCGGGTGGGGCCGCCGGACGAGATCATGTACCCGTCCTTGAACTTCATCGCCTTGGCGCGCTGCGCCCTCAGCTTGCCGCTCACGATCACCTGCAGGCAGGGGGGGCAGGGGGGGCAGGGGGTAAATGCGCGGGGAAGGGGGGAGGAGGGGAGGAGGAAAAGAGGGGGATGGGAGGGGGAAGGCCGACGGGGGGAAGGGGACGGGAGGGGGGAGGGAGGTGAGCGTCATCGGGAAAGAGAGGTGGGGTGCGCCAGGGGTGAGTAGACGGGCGCTCGGGAGTACCGCTTCAGACGAGAATGCACCACTCCCCTAACCACTACCCCTTGCCTACCTAGTTTTGGGTCCGCATCAGCACGACATATCGCAGCACACCCATGCTGGTCGATCCCTCCATATATAGCGATACCTTCTTAGTTACCAACCCCTGATGCTTCTCGCAACCTCCGTCTCTCAACATGCATGCTACCCATCCTAACCCACCTCGCAGCCGTCCCTCTTACCAGCCTCTTTTTCACCTATCAACCGTTCCCAATACCTCACGGCCCTTGACGTTGCTCTCCGTAATGGATCGCAGCACAGCACATCGCGGCACGTCGAGCCCCTACCAAGGTCCCTATGGTAAGAGCCCCTCTTGTAACAGATCCTCTTGTAACAGCCCTTCGTTACCTCGCAGCCCTTGGCGTTGCTCTCCATGATGAACCGCAGCACACCATAGCAAGCGCGGCGCACAGCGAGCCCGCCCAGCAGCTTGTAGCGCAGCGACTCCGCCTGCGCCACCGCGCACAGCCCCTTGTTGGCCACCTTCTCGGCATAGAGCTCCACCGTCCCTTCCTTGAACTTGAACCTCTTTTGGACGACGGACGTCAGCTCGCGGATGCGACGACCCTTCTCGCCTGCAGGAATACAAGGGCGAACGCAAGGGGAAGACGAAAATCCATCGTGGTTTACAAGCCATGGCGCAGGGCCCCTTGTTGGCCACCTTCTCCGCGTACAGCTCCACCGTGCCCTCCTTGGACTTGAACCGCTTCTGGACGACGGACGTCAGCTCGCGGATGCGACGACCCTTCTCGCCTGCGGCTACGATGCAACGTGGTTTGGAACGGTTTGAGACAGGACGGGAATCTCCTCGGCGCACGGTTCAAAACATTCTCCGCCGAATTCTATCGCGTGGCGTCTCTTCTGGCGAAGACGAAATGTGAAACAAGACGCGTCAGCGCGGAAAAAAACTTGCTGCCGGGATTTTCGGTCAGGATCTAAACAGCGATTTCAACGCGCAAATTACCGCGCACGTTCTGCGTGCGCGTGGCGCGCATGACGATCTCGACGAGCATGAGCGTGCTGCCAGGGGACATATGAGATCATACGATTAGAGATAGGGGAATGTTTACCGAGCACGTTCTGCGTGCGCGTGTTGCCAGGGGGCATACGAGAGCACAGGTACGGAGAACGATGGATTTACCGGGCACGTCCTGCGTGCGCGTGGCGCGGATGATGATCTGAATGGCGTGTTGCCGGCAAAGATATAAGATCGTAAGGGAGGAGCAAGGGAGGTTTACCGAGCACGTTCTGCGTGCGCGTGGCGCGGATGATGATCTCGACGCGCATGGGCGTATTGCGGACCTCCACGCCCGAGTAGCCCTCCTCCGCCAGCTCGCGTGTCAGCAGCTCGTTCAGCTCCGCGTAGAACACGCCGTCCGCCACAAACTGTTGGTAGCGGATAACGGGACACGCAATAGCGAGTACAATGAAGGTAAGGTGATAACAGGACAATGAAGGAAGGTGATAACAGGACCTCGCATGATAACACGCGTTCGTTACGAACTGTACGATATCGACTTTCGAGCCGACTCTAGAGTAACCCTAGGACGATACAGCGACGCAATATGAAACGAGCACGGACATCGTAATTGTCTAAGTCAGCGACAGATTGCGAAAAGAAAAGCAACAGAGCGGAAGGGTCATGAATCCGCGGAGGCCTGCACTGAATGCATCCCCATGAGGAAGGCTGCAACAGAAAAAATCGGCTCAGAAAATAGCAGCTCGTCTGACGACGACAGAACTGTGACCTAACAGAAAGATTCGAAGCGCCATGAACACGCAGTGGGATTCTAGAAGCGGGAAGTGACGCTAAGGCAGTGACTGGACGAGAGATTATGGCAGCGGCACTCCCGTGAGGTGATCCTGAAACCTAAACCGCCAAAAAGCTCGTCCACGGAAAAATCTGGAAATTGAGTTCTTCCGTCCTGAACCTAATGCTGGTTCTAGATCTCGTGCGAAAGGCTACAAGGCGGCTTCGAGAGCCGGGAGAGAACGAACCTTCTTCTTCTTGTTCATGGTCGTCGCCATGGTGTCTGGAGCGTGCTACGACGAGAGGAGTAAGAGAGGGAGGAAAAGGTCCTGGAGAGAGGAGGGGTAGGGTTTATAACTCTTGCAGGCTGGTGGTGAGAGAAAGGGAAGGCGAGGGGGAAAAGAGAGCGCAAATGGTGAGCGGAGGCGAGAAATAAATGGCGGAGGGGGGGAGGGAGGAGAGGAGGGGATGATGCAAGGCAGCAGAGAGGAGGCGTAAAGCCCGCCGGAGTCTAAAAAACCATAGTATAATATGAACATTTTTTCCTCTCACACGTGCGTCAGTAGTCCAATGGTCAGGATATTTGCCTTCCAAGCAAAAGATCCGGGTTCGATTCCCGGCTGACGCAGGTCTGTGACCCGAATACTGTTGCAGCTTCTTTGATATAACGGTTGTAAACGTGCTACAACTCCATATTCTACAAAGTGTTATTGCCAGCCCTTTCATTTTCAATCGCTAATCTTCAACCGATGGACAGCACAACGAAATGTGAACATCACTATCTGTCGATACATCAACTTTTGTCACAGAAAATGTTTTCACCTAGGTACAATTCGAGTACAGATTCATCAACTTCAAACCCGTTAACAAGGAATGTGCCACCTGCTACTTTTCCAAAACTAACTGACAGCCCCACCATGTAACTAGAGACAGTGGAATGCAGCAGCGCCTCTGTCCACTTGTGCCCTCCATGCCCTCCATGCCCTCTTCCCCTCTCAACACTACATTCTGCATTCCCTTTTCCCACTGTCCCTGTTTCTCTATCAATTCTGGCTTGATTCGCTCGTCTCTTGTTGTCAGCAGCCTGCCGGCATGGCCTTCCACATCACATGCCATTCACACCACATGGTATCCGCATCACATAGAATCCAGATCACATGCCATGTTAAGCACCAGACCATACCATGCAGAAACGTGCCAAACCATGTGCTGTGGATGCCATGCAATAACCATGCCATGCGGTTACATTCCATACCATGCCATGTAATAACATACCAGACCATCGCATGCATTAACACAACAGACCATGCCATGTAACAACAGACCATGTTATGTAACAACAGACCATGCCATGTAACCACTGACCATGCCATGTAACAAGATAAAAGACCATGCCATGTAACAACATGCCAGACCCGACAATGTAACAACATATCCCAGTCCAGGCCATGGGAAACTTACCAACCCCCCAACCCCCCTCATACTCTCACCCCACTCTATACTATCACCCCCTTCAATACTCCCACCCCTCCTCATACTATTACCCTACTCAAAATAACACCCCTCCTCATACTAATACCCCACTCCATACTATCACCCCCCCTCACTCGATTACCCCTATTTATCCTATCACCCCCCTAGTACAATCACGCCCCCTCATACTATCATCCCCCCTCAAACAACTACTCCGCCCCATACTAACACACCCCCCCTTCATGGTAACACTCCCATTTATACAATCACTGTATCACCCCATTCCATCCATACAATCACCCCATTCCATGCTAACATCCCATTCCACACTATCACCCCATTCCATGCCTATCACCCCATTCCATACAATCACCCCCTTCCATGCTATCACCCATTCCATGCTATCACCTCATTCCACACTATCACCCCATTCCATGCCTATCACCCCTTTCCATACTATCACCCCGTTCCATACAATCACCCCCTTCCATGCTATCACCCATTCCATGCTATCACCCCATTCTACACTATCACCCCATTCCATGCCTATCACCCAATTCCATACAATCACCCCCTTCCATGCTATCACCCCATTCCATACTATCACTCCGTTCCATACAATCACCCCCTTCCATGCTATCACCCATTCCATGCTATCACCCCAATCCATACTTTCACCCATACCATACTATCAGCACCACACCACTCCATACAGCCACCATCATCCATTCTCACTATCACACCTCCTTCTTGGCACAGAACCCCCAGTGGCCGTAGCTGTGTGGCCCGGGAGAAGCAGAGGAGGGGTGCGAGGTCAGCCCAAGACCAGGGTGCCCCTCACCATCGTGGCAAGAGCTTGCCTCACAGCAACCTGCGGCCGCCAGGTTCTGATTTGGCCTATTATGCCTTAAACGACGGGTATTGGGCCCAAGCACAGAGATTTGACACTCAAACAACCGCACTGCCGCCACCCAGCCCACACAACATGAACCACCGGGAGCACTGGCCCATCCCCCCTCCTCCTCCTCCTCCTCCTCCTCCTCCTCCTCCTCCTCCTCCTCCTCCTCCTCCTCCTCCTCCTCCTCCTCCTCCTCCTCCTCCTCCTCCTCCTCCTCCTCCTCCTCCTCCTCCTCCTCCTCCTCCTCCTCCTCCTCCTCCTCCTCCTCCTCCTCCTCCTCCTCCTCCTCCTCCCGACTTACCTCACTTACCTTAGCTCCTCCGAGCACCACCAAGGATGACGCTGCTGAGGGGGAGCGGATGGTGGGGGTGGCGGCGGATGGTGGTGGTGGTGGTGATGGTGTGTTGGGGGTGAGGGGGGAGGGGGGTTTGGGGTTGAGAGTGGGACCTCCTTCCTGCTGAACTCACTCTGCTAACGTTAACACCCAAGGATGACACTGCCGGGAGGGGAAAATGGGGGCGGGGGGAACGGGGGGGGGGGGGGGGGGGGGGGTTTGAGAGGGGGGAGAGGGGGGTTTGAGAGGGGGGGCTCCATGGTGCCATCTCCTTCCAGATGCGGTCTGAAGGAAGGGATGAGATGACCTGCCTATACCATACCATACCACACCTTACCTGATGCCTCACCCTTGCCTCACCTCGGTCGCCCAAACTAGCCTGCCCGCTAACTATCTAGCCCCTGCTGCTGCTGCTGCTTCCGCTGCTGCTGCTGCTGCTGCTGCTGCTGCAATCTTCCAGGTGGTGCCAAGGACACTACAAGGGTGGGTGGGTTGAGGCGGGGACGGGGTGGAGGGGGGGATATATTAGGTCCATGGAGAGAGGTGGAAACAATGGGAAGTGAACGAACAGCTGATACATTGCAACAAGGGGAAGCATGAGGGGATCACCCCTGCTGTAGCGGCAGCTAAAGAACACAGACATGAGGGGCTCTGGTATAGTCTCTAAGGATTTACCTGAGGGTATTACCTGCGGGGGTTACCTGAGGGTTTTACCTGAGGGGGGTACCTGAGGGGGTTACCTGAGGGCTGGTCTGTGTGCCATAGACTGAGCCACGACCAGGGGTGAGGGTTTAGGAGAGAGAAGAGCAAGTAACATTGAAAGGTGTGGTGCTGTGCAACAGAGCGTGATTGAATGGCTCTGGTATAGCCTCTTAAGGACACCTGAGAGTATTACCCGTGTAATAGAGACAGAGCAACAGAGTGTGATTGAAACGTGAGGTGTTAAGAGCAAGGACGGAGCAAGGTGAGGTGAGAAGAGCATGGAGTACTTAGCTGGTTGCAATGCAGAAGCCGCAGCTCCAAGGGCTTGAGCTGCGCTCCTTCCCACGCCTCTCCACTCCTCCCCACTCCTCCCCACTCCTTCCCTTGCCAACTGCTGATCTTAGGAATTGCACCCCGCCGCTTCCCTCCTCAACTGCTACTCGTCTCCAAGAGCTGCAAGGGAAGAGGGGGGGTGGGGGTTGGGTGTGGGAGAGGAGGGCACAAGTGAGTATAGTGGGAAGACTTCCAAGGGACATGAACAAAGCAGGGCACAGCAAAGCAGCAGAAGCAGTGAAGGACCAGAGGCAAGGGAGTGTAAGGCAAGAGAGCGTGAGGCTTACCTGCTGTGGCAGCGCCATCCAACTCTCAATACTCTCCCTTTGCAGCCAGCAGGGGCGCTTCAAGCAGGGGTGCTTGACTGCGGCAGCCAGATGCCCGCCAGGTAGGTTCGCTCCCCACCCATCCGCCCACAGAGCCATCCGCACAGAGGCCTACTGGGGGAGGGGGGGAGGCAGAGAGAAGGGCGAATAGGTGCAGGGAGAGGGGAAGGCTGTACATGGGATGTGATGAGAACTCATGCATGGAGAAGCAAGGACGGAGAGATTCACTCCTGGCGCAGCAGCAGCTGTAGAACACAGACCATGGATGAAGGAGGGGACGCTAGTCAAATCTCTAGGGCTGAAGGGAGGCAGTACCTGATACCTGGGGGGGATTACCTGATTGGATGGTCTGTGTTCCATAGACTGACCCACGGCCAGGGGTGAGGGTTTGATTGAAAGCAAAACAAAGTGCACACATGCAAAATGGAAGGTCGTGCTCAGGGAGGAGCGAGTACTTAGCTGGACATTGTAGGTCGCACCCATCCCAGATACCCTCCCAACCAAGCAGGGCAGCTGGGTTGGTGTAGAGTCACCCCACCCGCCCCCAAAAGAGGCCCTGCTGGTGGGGGGTGGGGGGGGGGGAGGGGGGGGAGACGAGGCAGTGGAGGGGAGATTAGGTGCAGGGAGGGGGGAGGTTGTCATTGAGATGAACAGCTCAGTGCACAGCACAGAAGAGAAGATTCACCCCTGGTGGAGCAGCAGCTGTAGAACACAGACCATGGATGAAGGAAGGGACGCTAGTCAAGTCTCTAGGGCTGAAGGTAGGCTTGACCTGAGGCTTATACCGGGGGGGATTACCTGAGGAGATGGTCTGTGTTCCATAGACTAAGCCACGGCCAGGGGTGAGGATTTGATTAATTGCAGGAAATATTGCACAGCGTAAACCAAAGGGACAGGTTTGGGCAGGAGCGAGTACTTAGCTGGAAATGGTCGGTGGCATCCGCCTCACTCAGACACTCTCCCATAGCACCCAGCAGAGCTGCTGGGCTGGTGTGGAGTCACCCCTGTTATCCTCCCCTCCCCTGGTGGCGTCCAAACAGCAAGGCGCGCTTGGTTTAACTCACCCCTGCCATCCCCATCAGCGGCCCTGGGGGAGAGGGAGGGAGGAGGCAGTGGACCGGAGATTAGGTGCGGTGGGAGAGGACAGGTGGTGGATGCAAAAATAACTGATTCAGACAAGAGAGGATTCACCCCTGGCGTAGCAGCAGCTGTAGAACACAGACCATGGATGAAGGAAGGGGCGCTAGTCAAGTCTCTAGGGCTGAAGGTAGGCTTGACCTGAGGCTTATACCGGGGGGGAGTACCCGACGGGATGATCTGTGTTCCATAGACTGAGCGACAACCAGGTTTGAGGGTTTGAGAGCAAGAAAAACAATAACAAATGCGAAGTGACAGGTCAGGTTTAGGGAGGGGCGAGTACTTAGCTGGAAGTCATCGGTGGCACCCATCCCAGATACTCTCCCATTGCGCCCAGCAGGGCTGCTGGGCTGGTGCGGATTCACCCCACCCGTCCCCATAAGAGGCCCTGCTGGGGAAGGGGGGGAGGCGGTGGAAAGGGCGATTAGGTGCAGGGAGAGGGGCGGTTTTCAAAGGATGTGAAAACAAAGCGCATTTACTGAGAAGAAGAGAAGGGAGAGATTCACCCCTGGTGCAGCAGCAGCTGTAGAACACAGACCATGGAAGGAGCGCTAGTCAAGTCTCTAGGGCTGAAGGTAGGCTTGACCTGAGGGTTATACCTGGGGGGTTAAACCTGGGGGGTTTTACCTGGGGGGTTATACCTGGGGGGTTATACCTGGGGGGTTATACCTGGGGGGTTATACCTGGCGGGTTATACCTGGGGGGTTATACCTGGAGGTTATACCTGGAGGGTTATACCTGAGTGGTTGGTCGGTGTTCTGTATAACTAGCCACGGCCAGGGGTGAGGGTTTGGGATTGAAATTGCAGCACGATAAGGTTGAATTTGAAAGGAGGAAGGAAGGAGGAAGGAAGGGGGAAGGAATACTTAGCTGGTTTCTTGGCAGCAGCAGCACCTCCGATGCCTCACCCCCCCCTCTCCTCCCCTCCAAGTCTCTACTTACTGCACTCCTCTCCTCCACGCCCTTGCCCACGGCACTCCTCCCCTCTCCAACTGCTGCTTGCTGCGCGGTGACTGCAAGGGGGGGGGGGAGAGGGGGGGGGCGGGGGAGGAAGGGAGGAGGAACTGAGTGAGTAGAGAACAAGCGACATGCGTGGAATAAACAGAGAATAGCAATTGAAGCACATGACAGTAATAGACGAGAGGAAAGGGAGTGACGCGAGCTCACCTTCTTTGGCAGCACCAACCCCCGATACTCTCCCTTAGCAGCGAGCAGGGCTGATCAGTTGATGCAGTCAGATGCCACCCCACAGCCACCTGCCACCAAGGGAGCTCCAGCCATCCAAAGCGTAGCACCTGCTGGGGGGTGGGCGGGGGCAGGTAATGAGGGTTCATTAGCTGAAGGGACGGGGACAAAGGAATAGTGTGTGCCTGGGTGCATGGAAGCCGTTGCAGCAGCCGGGACTCACCCAGAGGGCGTACCATACCATACCATACCATACCATACCATACCATACCATACGATACCATACCTGGTACCTGGAACTGTTGACCTGGGGAGGGTCCCTGGGTGAGCCACTGGCAGCCACGGCAGTGAGGAAAGTACAGGCATGTGGCAGCAATGGCAGCAATGGAGAGCAAATGATTGTGAGAGTCGCTTGAGAAAGCACGGCAAAGACAGGGCAGGGTACTTATCTTTGACTTTCTGGCGGGTTGCTGCTGTTCGTGGTGGTATAGCTGCTGCCACTGCCGCTGCCGCTGCCGCTGCTGCTGCTGCTGCTGCCTCGCCTTCAGGCCTCGCCTCACCTTCCGACCGTCCAAACAGTTGCCAAGAGCCCAGCAAGCGGGAGAAGAGAGAGGCAGAGGAAGGGGATGTGAGTCACTGCATGCGGAGGTGCAGAGAATGCTACTGAAGAAAAGACAGCAACAATGTGAAAGGTGCTGTGGGAGCAGTGCATGCAACGAGTGCAATGGGTGTATGAGAGCCTTCGCAGCATCCAGCAACTCACCCAGAGGACGTACCGGCTGAACCATACCTGGCCTGTGATCACCTGGGCTTACCTGCACCTGGAACGTTAACCTGGGGAGGGTCCCTGGCCTGGGTGAGCCACTGGCCGCTAGCTAGAGCATGCAGAGCTTGCCATGGCGATGATGCAATGAGGTGGCGCAATGAGGTGGTGCAGTGAGGTGGTGCAGTGAGGTGGTGCAGTGAGGTGGTGCAGTGAGGTGGTGCAGTGAGGTGGTGCAGTGAGGTGGTGCAGTGAGGTGGTGCAGTGAGGTGGTGCAGTGAGGTGGTGCAGTGAGGTGGTGCAGTGAGGTGGTGCAGTGAGGTGGTGCAGTGAGGTGGTGCAGTGAGGTGGTGCAGTGAGGTGGTGCAGTGAGGTGGTGCAGTGAGGTGGTGCAGTGAGGTGGTGCAGTGAGGTGGTGCAGTGAGGTGAGGTGGTGCAGTGAGGTGGTGCAGTGAGGTGGTGCAGTGAGGTGGTGCAGTGAGGTGGTGCAGTGAGGTGGTGCAGTGAGGTGGTGCAGTGAGGTGGTGCAGTGAGGTGGTGCAGTGAGGTGGTGCAGTGAGGTGGTGCAGTGAGGTGGTGCAATGAGATGGTGCAATGAGGTGGTGCAATGAGATGGTGCAATGAGGTGGTGCAATGAGATGGTGCAGTGAGGTGGTGCTGTGAGATGGTGTGGTAAATCGACACGAGATACTTATGGCTTGTGAAGCTGGCTCGCTGGCGCTGATTGAAGGCCGATTGCAGAGGGACGGCAGACGACCGTCCTCGACCATCCACGTGCCTCGTGCGCAGTAGCAGACAGGCGAGGACACATGTGTTTGGGAGGGGGACGGGGTGGGGTGTGGGGTGTTCGGGAGGGGGGGGGGGTGGTGTGGGGAGCATTAGCACATGAACGAGCTTAAGAATGGACGCGAAGGAACGAGCAGACAGACTCTAGGCGCGCTATAGGACACATACTCACCCCCCCACCTCCCTTGCTTCATGATCGTACCTGGATCCACCTCCCTGGTGCAGACGAGCATGGCAGATGGGCGCAGCAGGGGATGGTGTCGCAGCACGCAGCAAGAGCCTCGTCCTCTGTGCGCCACTCCCAGCAGCACGCCGCCTCAGCCATGCTTGGCTTGGTAGCTCGTGGTGGGTCGGTGCTGCTGGGCGCTGCTCCACGCCCGCTGGCAGTGCACCTTGCACATGGACAGAGAACGAAGGGGGGGGGGGAGAGGCATTAGTAGATGCATGGAGCTTGACTCAGACGCAAATAACAAACGGCAGATTGACTCTCTATGCGTGCTATCCTGAGACGCTTACTCGCCCCCCCTCCACCATATTCCATCAACGCACATTGCCGTGGAGTGGCGGATGCGGTGCTGCTGGCGGATGTGGTCTTGCTGCAGACTCCCAACAAACAGGTGCCGTTGTTCTGCAAGACTCGAAATTTCTTGTCAGAATCGGTCCTCCAAAAATCGAGTGACGCTTCTGAATGAAGAGGGGGAAGGACAAACGACTTACCGCGACGCAGTAACCATTTTGCAAGTGAATTCGAGTCGAGTATGATTAAACACAGTTCGAAAGCCGGCTTGTTGAAGCGTGTTCGCGTGTTCCACGTGCAGTAAATGCGGAATAGAGCCTGCGACCGGCGAGAAAATACGTTTGAAGACGTCGTACTAGAATCGTGTTGAGATAGAGCAGAACCGCCAAAACGAAATAGAAATTGCTCCTCATACTGTTCCCTTGGGCATTACGCTCTCCATGGTAAATTGCGGGGGAAACAATCAATTCGCCAAGATCAAACGCCGACATGGAACGTGTAGTGATGACGTGTGCAGAGCCGGCCATGCTTCAGAATTCGCCGCGCTCGAGCGGAGGTGCTCATCGCCATAGCAGTTGTGCAGACGGTGGCGCTGAAAACACAATTTGAGAAATTGGAATCTTGGCTTGGCTGAATGCGAGGAGGGAGGCGAGCGAAATTGAGAAATTGCAGATGGATTGGGACGAGCGAGGCGAAATGACGGATTTGGGAGGGCCAGAGGAACATTTGGCGAGAAATTGGCATTGAGATGTGAGGAATGAGCGGGTTTGGCAATTGGTTGGAGTTAAGCCAAGGGGTCACGGGAGCCAAGGTTGCATGCAGAAGCAAAAAATCACCGCTCCAAACCAGCAGAAAAGGTTCGGAGGCTTGGTTTCGATGTCCAAAAGACTTGAGTAAAAGGTTCGGTTGAGGTTTGGAACAAGCGATTCGGCTTTGTCGGTGGCTTTATTATCAAAAATTGCAAGTACGCGCCGAAGCAAGAGAACGTTGGGGCTTCACAACGATATCTAGCGACGTGGATGTAGATGCTCATTGGCCGATGGTGGGACCACCGACGCCGTGAACCGTTCAAATGTGGGACAGTGAAACCTGGACCACTCAGGCTCCGCACACCGCCTTTCTGGGGAAGCTGAACAAGTCGCGAGCTTGCGGCTGGCGTGGGTTTGCGGGTTCGCGCCAGAGGAGGACGAACGTTGGGAACGTTTCGAAAATGATCCAGTGCCGTGGATCTACACGCTGATTGGCCGAGGTTGGGACTACTCCATGTGGAGCACCGTGATGTGGACCACACAAGCTGCGCACACCGCCTTTGTCGAGCGGGAAAACAGGGCACGTGCTTGCGGTTCACGTGGGTCTACGGTTCCCCACGGAAGCAAACGGGACGTTGGGGGCTTGGTAGCATGTGGACCTGCACTTTCATTGGCTTAGGGTGGGACCACCTAAACCAAATGCGGCATGGGAGCTTGTGGAGCGCGTGAATTCGCGGGTCTTCTTGGGAGCGCCACGGCCTAAGTTCAACGAGTGGATATCTCTATCTTGAGATAGGTGACATGCTTGTGAGCGAAGCTTCGAGGGCGAGTCTCAAGCGTGGTTTGAACCTCGCTAACGTGGACTCCGTAATTCCGTATCGTGTGCTATCTTGATGTCCCAAAGCTGGTCTGAGCCTTCCACTTGCTAAGGATAGAAGTGAATCACATTGCCACATTGCTAACCCCCATCATGTTGCAGAAAAAGAAAAGCCCTTACAGATTGAAGCTCCAAAAATCAGCTTTTATGTGTGCATAATGTTGTGATATAATTGGTACTTAGCATTCCTGTAAGTTGATTAAGTGTAGTCACTGTCGAACCTTACTGTAGAACTTAAGTCCGTAGGATGACGTCAGCAAATAGCGCTCGTCATAGGACAGTCGTTTCAGTCACGCGAACAGTCGCACCTCTTCATTATCATCTAGGGCGCATAGCGCGATAGTGACGAACAGGTACATTAGCGAATAGGTACTTTTCCTAGAACTATAAATCCCTTGTCAGGTCTTTTTCATTATTAACTTTGATAAACTTTTTGATTACTCACAAGTTCACGTACTCAGGTTATTCAACCTTGACTTTTACATTTTACAAGACTTCCGCTGTCTTACTAGTCTACCATTCCAGCAAAAGATCCTGGACCAACACTTGAGAGTTTGCCAAGTGTTCTTGTTTAAAGTTTTATACTTAGTCTTCTACTTCAACAGGAGATTTAGTTCATGGTATGAGAGCTATCTGGAATTAAGACTACCGTCAACTATGACTGGTTCATCACCAGCACCGTCTGCCGGATCAGTTACCGGAACTACAGGAGCACATGCCTCCACTACCGCCTCTGGTCTCTCAGCCTCTGGGCACTTCCCACCAGTCTACGCCAATATCGGTATGCAACATCAGAATCCGCCTTCTGTGAATACTCCAGGTGCTCCATCGACTGCACCTGCAACGCAACAGCAACAATCACAGACGACAACACAGCAACAACAACAACAGCAACAGCAACAACAGCAAC